TGTACACTATCATTTTAAATGGTGCAAAAATAGTTGCGCTTCTGAACTTTTCAAAAAAACAAAGTTTAAAACAATAAAGAATTCATTGCAGGTTTTTTTAAAAGATACACTCAAACAGATTTATAAGTTCAGCAACTCTTTATTCAACTTTCTGATAGCTGCTTAAAATAAATTTGCTAAACATGAAGAAAAAAATAGATAAAAATTTTGAGATGGTAGGTAAGTTTTTGAATTCGTAAAAACCGTAATTATAAAGCTAAATGCAAACTTGTCTTCTTATTTTGCAGCTTGAAATGCAAGAAGATCAAGAGCTAGAAAAAAGAAGTAACAAAGGAGCTGATATGTTGACAATGTTGGACGAAGCAGCCAAAGAATCTGGTAAATCTAAGCAAGTTAGAAATCCGTTAAAACTAACAACTCGAGACTAGGATAATCAGCAAGTTATTACTGGTTGTTAATAAAACTACGGCGTATTAATAAGAACAGAAAGACATGAAATATTGTTGTTAGTACAGTTTTTTGATCTAATCGCTATTCTATGTGTCAGATGACTTATATAAACTGTTTGTCTCTGCAGTTTGTTTTGATAAAAAAATCTTTGATTGCAATTTACTTTTAAAAGCAGCAAACTCAAAGAGTTAAAATAATAAAACTAAAAAAAAGTAAAATTGTTTTCAATGTTATAATCAGCACAGTCCTATACAAGTAAAAATTGTCCTCGAAAAAAGCTTTTTTTTTACAGTTATTGTTCTTTTCGGTTCTATAATCTGATTCCTAACTTGAAAAAAAAAAGCATTAAAAAGTAGCGCTGCTATTGAAAGAAACAAATTCTTTTGCTTTTCTCGGCTTTTAATTATAAAGATTCAAACTGCTGCTCAATCATTATTCGACATTAAAAAACAAAAAAAAATTTTCCCCCTCTTTTTCTTAATAACTTTTAAAGAAAAAATGTGTACAGAGCTTTATAAGGCCATATGGTGAGCTAAGTTCTCTTGATACAAAAATTTCTGATTCAAAATGACTATTTTTTAAGATGGTGACGTCAAATGTTGCCGTCTCCGTCCTGTCTTGACCTCTCCTTCCTACTAATCCTCTGTGACACAAATAGAACAATGTGGTTAAAAGAGTGGCAGGAAGAAGGACAATCATGTAGACGGTACACCAAACACATAAAAAGCTGACCTTGCGCTTTGGCAGATTAATAAGAGATTTAGCATTACTGAAAGTAGCATTTATACAGCTGCCATACTGCTTCCTACATACGAACCAAGAACACTTAGTCAATTTCCGTAAACAAAATCACGATTTTGTGGCAACAGTTTTAAACCGGAATAAACAAGAGAAATATAACTTCTGTTTTTTTTTTTTCAGATAACTGCAGAGAAAAAAGCAGATAAGTATAAAGATATCTTAAGAGTAAAAAACCAGTAAAAGCAGTTTAATAATTTAGAATGGTAAAATCGTCCCAATAAAACTTGCTTCACTAATTTGATGTTCTATCTCATCTGACTGAGAATAAGAGAAACATCTCTTGATATAGTTTTTCACCTGCTTAAAAGGTAAAATTACTAAAAGTGACTTGGCAAACTTACTTCAAGAAGACAGGTGCCAACATCAATGTCTTCTCGAACGGTGACTTCGTACAGTGGTTTGGAAAACACTGGTGGGTGTTCACCACTTTCAATAATATCCACAAACACGTCAACGACTGAAGAAAGTGAAGGAACACCATTGTCCTCGGCTCTTACACGGAATTGAACTTCGCCATTGGGACATCGAAGCTGGAAGTTTTGTTATTGTCAGTATCTACTGACGTAATCCATAAATCTGGCATCATGAATAAATATTCAATAAAAGTTTTAAATAAAATGTGCGAACATTTTGCTTCAAATGTAATATTCCTGTATTCGGTTCAATTGTAAATACATCGGTCTCAAAAATTGAGTAACGAATTCTGGCATTTTCTCCAGCATCCGCATCTGTAGCCACAATACGCACAACATCTTCCTCATCTCCTGAACGATTGTAGGTAACTCGAAGCATCGAATTACCAAACTGAGGTGCATTGTCATTAACATCTAACACCTAAAAAAATTCACTTTTAAAGCCGTTTAATGATTGGCAGCAAGTGAGAACCAATTCAAGTTTATAATTATCCCTTTTCAAACACCGTTTGTAAGAATTAAAATACTGGTATGAAATTACGCGGTAAAAAACGAAACATAGCTGTCTTTTTCAGAAACACTTTTTATTAAAACAAGTTTACACGAAAGAGACCTTACCTCAAGAACAACTGGGTGCTCCAAAATAACAACATTATTGTTCTTTATAAGAAAATTTATGCTGTAGGATGATTTCAGTTCTCGGTCGAACAGAAGTTTACAAGCTAAAGCTAAGTAAACATTCTGCTTTTGCGTTTGTTCCAAACATATAGAGTCGCAACCTTCTAAGTCTACCTCACTGAAACAATTTCGTATCAAACCAACAAGCTTTCAAAAGCTTTTTTAATTAAAGCAGTTCCAAGCTGCAGTCGAATGCTTGTTAAAAAGTGCAAAAGAAACCTGTTAGGCTCAACGTTTTGTACCGCTATACGAGCAAGCACATATCCGGCTGTTGCATTTTCATAGATCTGTGGATTACCAGAATCAGTAAGCCAGTATATGTCAAATTGCGGTATCGGCTCAGTACTTTTACTAACAACTATTGTCAAAAACGCTGTGGTTTGTAAAGGTTGCGGTAATCCATGATCGCTGGCAACAACAAGCAGTTCATGCACTGAACCGGCTTCAAAACTTGCATCTGTAACAGTGACAGTACCGGTACGAGAATCGATTCCAAAATGTGGTTTCAAACTTGGATGTGCCTAAAAATTTGATCTTTGCCAATTTTACACAGCAGCTAGAGCGCCTGTGTTACAACCGACTAAAATCTGTACTAACCTGAACTAATGAGTAGGCAATTTTAGAGTTTAAACCCTGATCAGGATCGCTGGCACGAACAGTTATAACGTTGAAGCCCTCTGTTACGTTCCATGGTACTTCAGCAGAGTATCTTGGTTCGCTAAATTCCGGAGAATTATCGTTAGCGTCCAAAATGTTAACACTGACATTTAACGTTCCAATCCTACAACAATTTCATAAGGTTCCAAGAAAGAAAATTCTTCACGCCTACCGTGACAAAACATCGACAGTTAGGAAATGAAGAAGGAATAAAACAATAAATTACTTTGGTGGATTTCCACCATCAGCTGCCTCAATGATCAGTTCATAATGAGCTCGATATTCCCGATCTAGTTCACCGTTTACAACCAAATCAACATATTCAACAGAATTAACATTTCTAGTTGCTAACCTAAAAAATTAAAGTCGGTAAAACAGTTGCATTTTTAACACTGTTAACAATTATAATAGCAGTTTATCAGTTATAGAGATAATACCTAAATGCATTGTTTACATTGCCAGACTTTATCTGATATTTTTGCACATTATATGGTGGTGAATCTTTGTCCACAGCAGATGGAATTGAAATTTCAGAATGTAGTCGTGCATACTCTGATACTTCTACCTAAAAAAAAAAGTGAAACCTTTGATTATAATAGACATTGTTTTTGAAAAAAAATAAATTTGTTTTGTGAATTTGAATATGTCTAGAAAGCATTTATCAATTGAAACTAAATGAAATTTTTGCGTTTACATTTATGTTTCATCCAAATTTGACAAGAACCCAGTTTACAATTGAAACATATGTTTGAGAGGGTGTTAATTAAACTTATTTACTTCGCAAAATATATGCATAAGTGCTTCTGTTTATTTTTTTGTTAACCTTGTGTTTTGTTGGCAGCTTTTGGTCAAACAATCAAAATTTTTACCGACTTGTATTAAGTGCTCTCAATAAGTCATTCTAGTTTCCTATAAGCTTTAAGTTGTCGTTATTTTGCACAATAGTACTCTGTAATTGTTAGCATTTTGCTTAGCAATTATATTGACTAAACTACAGCACATTCAACAACATCACATAAATCTTACAGATATTGATGAAACAGGAAATTCTGGTGCATTATCGTTTTCATCATTTACATGGATGTAAACGTGCATTGATTTTTCAATGCCACTAATCGGTACAACAACAAAATCGTAAACTGATTCAAGTTCATGATCTAATTTTGCCCGAACCGTTATTTCACCGCTTGTTTCATCCACAGATATAAACTGGAAATTAAAAAAAAAAAAAATGAAAACTAATAATAATAACAATAATAATAATAATAATGGTAAAGAAATAAAAGAAATTTAAAGTACAATGTATTATAGGATAAAAATATATGTACTTGAATTTAACGATATTGATCTGATTTTCTTTCAACTAATCAAATATGTCAGCCTATATTTTATGCTTCAAATCACAGTACAAAAATTAAGAAAATTGTTTGTATTAGGTTTGTTTCAAAAAAAAAAAGAAAACTTTTTAACTAATTTATTTTATCACTATAGTATCATTTTTCAAAGATCAGCACAATAGCAGCAATTCATCTGTACGAATTTCTTGTCACTCACTCCACTCAAATGATCTTCACATATGACCGATTTTGTAGCGATATTTTTCAGCAGTGTCTAAAAGAACGTTTCAACAAATCTAGCAGTTTTTTCCTCCAGTAGTTTCTTAGTTAAATGTAGAAAAAAAAAAAAAGATTGTGATGTTATCAAAAAGTATCTGAAAAATAATAAAACTTTTGGAAGAAATAAAATTGCAAAAAAACATGAAAAAAAGATAAATCTTTTCTCTTAGACTCTATCTAAACTCTGAACAATAAGCGCTTTTTTCTTCTCCTATTCTATCAGTATTGAAACCGAATTGCAAAATTTAAAAAAAAAACTAAAAATTACTTTCTTTAACTGTTAATTATATATGAAAAAAAAACAAAACAAAGAATTTTCAAAGCAGATAAATATTATTATCAAAATTGATGGTCACTGAAAACTACAAATTTCACCCAAATCTGATTAGTCTTTTCTTATACACGTAAAAATTCAAAATCTTAGTTTTTTGTTTTTCACATTTTTAATGACTAAATTTTTGTTTTTTTTTTTTGATCTCTATGCTTTGGAAGTTCAGCTTTAATTTGCCCTTTTCTTTTTTCTTCAATTTTTTTTTTTTTTTTTTTTT